GAATAGTGGTAATAGGGTAAAGTGTGGTGAAAAATAGTGTTCGTACCACGGACCGAAATGGTTTTGCAGCTCTCGATCGATTTAAGTTCTCGACTTCGTCTCGAACTTAAAAACTATCTCGAGCCGGCAAAACCTCATTTTCGGCCCTAGGTACGAAATATACTATTAGGTTTATTCGTAATCCGGACGCATACGAAGTTGAAGCTTTTGCTTTGGTATTAACAGTCAAGTAAAATAAATAAATAATTAAAATAAATAAATAATTAAATAATCTTATAAATTTAAGAAAATGGGTTATTCGTTTGGCTCTGCTACCCGACCATTTTTATTATTGAGGTCTCAAATTAAAGGTATGCACGCACAGATTTGCCATCAAGCATCGGCGTATATTTTTCTATTATCTCACTCGGCTTATACGTAAACGAAATTGCTCCCCATGTTTTTCTTATGGGAGTTAAATTTGGTTTTCATGATTTTTCTTCGTTAGGCTAAACAAATCATGTTAACAATTTAATTTTTGAGTTGTTCTAATTCTTATAACGTAGTTTTCTAAAGTTATCTGTTGTGGCTGCCTAGAAATAATCGGACGTTTGTTTCTCCTTTGAAAATGTATTGATAATTATAGTAGTGGTAGTTAGTTATGTTACAAGACTATGACAAATTGCCAATTATTGAGTCAACTTGGTCCCCACGCACAGGCTTCGCATATGTGGGCCCTGTCGATTTTCAGAAATTACGTTCATTCTGTATCTATTATTCTTTTGTTATGAATTGCTTTTGATTTTATTTATTTGATTTAATTTTACTATGGTATTTTTCCGGACAAACTCCATTAAACATATAGCACGGGTCGAGGTTAATTTAACAACTTAAAACTAATTCATTCAACAATAGTTTACCTGAAAACTATTTTACTAATATTTGTTTAAAGTTTTACAGAATACACTTACACATGATGCTATTGTATGTTTTTATTTATACATGATATAGGTACTTACAACAAAACTTGTGAATTTTTGTGTTTATTTATACATTTATTGTATGGCAACAACGTAAACTTAAAGATAGGAGCGAGTGTATGCAATTCCAAGATAGAGTTTAGTATTCACCGATCCTACGATAGTTTAAGAGTATATTTCGTACCTAGGGCCGAAAATGACTTTTTTTCAGCTCGGGATCATTTTTAAGTTCGAGACGAAGATGAAATCGGTCCGTGGTACGATTGCTGTTTTTCACCAAACTATACAAAACTGAGAAAATATATCAATAATGTAGGCAAGCATGTTTCTTTACAACCTTTTTATCAGCTCCTGAACATCACAGAGAAAATATCCGCATATCGGTGGAAGTGTATTTTCCTGTCGATCTACAGAATGCCTTTATAAATTAAAATAGGCTAAAAAGACATAAAAAAAAGAATTACAAATGTTTAAAACTAACATGGGTTTAACGGGTTGCTATGCTGGTGACGAAATAACAACTAATTATGAAAATCAAATCAAAACAAATGGAACATATTCCAATCACATTTATTATTTACAGTGTATGTTAATACCCCCGCCGCAGCAAACCTGCAGACAAAGCGAATTTCCATTTGCCTGATTGGATTTAAACTAAAATGTCTCCTTAAAAATATCACATTTATTCCATATTTAAACAGAATTAGTTTAATGAGTACTTAGGTTTGCTGCAACAGGGAGGGTAAACAAGTTTTTTTATGTAAAATGTTAAAAGGTACTGTGGTTTAGTAAGAAGTTAATGTGTTTTCCAAATTTGATTAAAATATTCTCATAAACAAGCAAACTACAACAGTTGACTTCTGCTCCATAAGAATAACATGGGAATTTTAAAATTACAATTTTTTTGAATTTTCTCCGTAACAATTAGGCGCATAATAACGCTTCAATATACTAAATTATTTGTTTTTTTAAGCTCTACAAAATGGTTTGAAAAGAAATTTAGAAATTTGGTGTTTTTAGAGTCAAAAATGGGAAAAACCTATTTTTACCCCATAAAACCCCCCATAAACCCCCGTTCCCATAGTCCGATCATGCTGGTTCGCGAACTCATTCAAGTTTATCCCGCCTTACACCTTCAAACCAAATTTCATCAAAATCGGACAAAAATTACTCAAGTTATCGTGCGGATGGACACACACACACATATATATATATATATATATAGATATATAAAAATTTGAACGAATGGTGTTTTTGGCCTCTGGGGACATCAAAATGAAAAAGTAAATCGGTCCCGGGCTTAGGTCTTACCATGAGACCTACGGTAATAGCTACTTCCCTATAGGGAAATTCGCTAAAAGGAGAAGTATGTGTAGTACATTGCATAGTTTTTGTCGAGTTTTCAACCGCTGGACCTCAACTTCATTGTACACTTCATTGTTCATTGATCACTGGGAAATCCATTGTAAACTATAAGATATGCACACTAAACAATGCAAATACTTTAAGGTTATCAATGTATATTTAATGATATATATATAAATGTTTTAATTAAATAAGCGATTTTCGGTACTAGGGCTGGAAAATTTTAATCACAACTATAGCTGCCATTTCGACCCTGGACAGCAATGCGTAGCTTTCAGCCTCCAATTAACGTCTGTAAAACTACTAAAACATCGTATTGCGGTGAAAAATATTTGCCAATCATACTCAATCGACTGCAGTTCCTGATTTAATTAAGGGTATTATTAAAAAGTACTCGTGCAGTAATCAATTAAACAGGGTAACGAATTGAAGGATGGATACAACTAGACTATAAGGACGCAAAATACGCGTAGGTACAACTAGACGTAGGGACTACTAGACGGAGGGACCACTAGTCGTAGAGACTACTAGTCGTAGAGACTACTAGTCGTAGGGACAACTGGTCGCATCCGTACAAGCTAGGTGATACTACTTGTCGGTGGGATACACGTCTAGTTGTACCTACGTCTACTTGTACCTACGTCTAGTTGTACCTCCTAAAAATCTGCAGGTACAACTAGTCGGGTGAGCCACCGTCTACTTGTACCTACGTCTAGTTGTACCTACGACTAGTTGTCCCTAGGCCTCGAGGTACAAGTAGACGGAGGGACAACGAGACGGAGGGACAACGAGACGCGGTCCCTCTTGGTATAGTAGTTTTATTTTGTAAAATTTAAGCACAGTCTGTCTAGTAGTTTTTACTATGTTGAATAACACACATACTGTATAAAAAGACACCATGAGATTTTTATATAATAGTGTAGATTATCAAATTAACAAAGGAAATATGTAAAAGTCCATCTATTTCCACATTCATCGTACTTACAATACGATAAATGCAACCAAAAACATTATGTTTGTATATTTTTAGTTTTAGACATATTGCGGTATGTTGTAATTTTTATCTAAATAAACAACATAGATTTCAATTTTGTCTATTTTACCATATTTAAAAACCTACTATCTACTACCATTGACTTTATATCTCAAAGTCAATGCTACTACTGTATTAGAGGTGGCTATGATTACGTGCATAATAGAACCACGCTGTTTTGTGTTGTTTCGTTGGAATCCTGATGTGCGCCAAAGTATAAATCGTACGACAATTCGAAAAAGTATAAATATGCAGCAATTAGCAGCTTTCTGTACTATAAACAGTACAAGGAAGTCAACTTTGTCGGGTGACTGTTGGAAAATATTTGTATTTAGCTTATAAATTTGTGAGATATTTCACCCCCTTTCTCACCCTTCCCTTAACTTAAAATTTATTTGGGATTGCGAGATATCCCTTTTGACATATCAATTGAAAGGGCATGTAAAAAGAAAATGTTTGGTGAAAGAATCTTTGTAATTGGCTATACATCTTTTATATTTCACCCCCCCCCTCTCTCTCCCTACCCTCAACTTTAAATGTTGAAATGTCAATCCCCTGTGACATTTCAAATGAAAGGGTATGAAAAAAATCATTTCTGGTACGGTAATAATTTTTTTGAAATCAGATGATATATTTGAGAAATATTGCAATACCTATCTCCCCCTACCCCATTAGTTTAAAAAATTTTCACCAAACATTTTCTTTTTACATGCCCTTTCAATTGATATGTCACAAGGGATATCTCGCAATTCCAAAATTTTAAGTTAAGGGAAGGGAGAGAAAGGGGGTGAAATATCTCACAAATTTGTAAGCTAAATACAAATATTTTTTCACCAAACATTTTCTTTTTTTATGCTCTTTTATTTGATATGTCACAAGGGGTACCTTGCTATAAAAAAATAAGTTCCGGGGAGGGGGGGATATCACACAAATTTATGAGCCAATTTCAAAATGTTTTTCAATAACATTTTCTTTTTTCGTGCTCTTTCATTTGATATGTCACAAGGGGTATCTCGCGATTTCAAAATTTTAAGTTAAGGGTAGGGAGAGAAAGGGGGTGAAATATCTCACAAATTTATGAGCCGATTTTCAATTTTTTCACCAAACATTTTCTTTTTTCTTGCTCTTTCATTTGATATGTCACAAGGGGTACCTTGTTATTAAAAAAAATTAAGTTGGTTTGACGGCAGGGGGGGAAAGGGGGGGAATGTAAATGTAACGTTGAATTCAAAACAATTGGGCCCCCTACGTCAATAGATGATTCCCACAAACTGCATATTTATATCTATTGCGGTTTTTACATAAATAAAGATGCAAGTTAAAAAAAACACCCTGTATATCGAGTAGTTATTGTACATTGATTTGTAAACCTAGTATTTGGATAAATCCACCTAAGTGGTGGATTGGCAACACTGATAACGTTATTTACTGTCAGTCAGTCAACTGTCACTAGTCACTGAGACTGAACTGTCACCCTTCCTCCTGCGTCAACTGTCAGCTCAGCAGGCAGCACACAGCGACAGCACTCAGCAGTCAGCACTCAGGAGGCAACCAGTCACAGTCACTACATCACTTACATCAGTCAGCTCAGCAGTCAGCACTGAGCGAGCACTGAAACTGAAAGTCGCCCAGTGTGAGTGTAAGCAAGCACTCAGCAGAGAAAGGCGAAGGCCTGAAGCCCGAAGGTGAAAGAACGGCCACAGAACAGAACAACAGACGCAGCGCAGCACGCAGAGACGACCATCTATGTCTAAGTTTTCATTTTAACAGTGATGACAGGATGGGTTAGTCTAAATTTCATGAATAATTTATATTAGTTTGCCCTTAGGTGAATCGTGGAAAATGAACAATAACCGGAACCTTAACTTTATTCTGAACAACCAAGTAGTTTATGAGTGCACTGTTAGGTACGATTGTCTGTGTTGATTTCAAGAACTCAGGTTGTATATATATTCTTGTTAGATGAGGGTAGGTTATTAGCCTACTGCCAATAAGTCATAACAACATAGCTAAGCGAACTTGTACAATTAAGTAGATAATCATTTGGAAACAATGTTAGTAGTGTAAACATGAAGCCGTTTCCCCCTGATCAAGGACACGATGACATTGAAACCCACAAAGATTCAGCTAGACATTCTGAAAAAATATTTTGTGGTAGTTTGAAGGTTAATCAGAATAATTGCCAGTGTTATGCTAAGAATAATGGAAGCAGTGATTGTCAGCATATTTCCGAAACAGATAATCTTATAAGATGTCCAAGGTTAAGAACTAATTTCCATTCCCTAAAATCAGATAAACAAAAGTTGAGCCCTGCACACTATCTTCAAAAGGTGTTTCTATCAAGCGTTACACAGAAATTCCGAAGTCAAAGTTTGCCCAGTTGCAGTGATAACATAGGCCTAAAGGTATCGGTAGGCCTGAATAACACAAACGAAGATATTAGTGAACCATCAACTCCATTAGTTGATGCTACTAGCAGCCTTGCTTATAGGCCCTCAAGCAATATTGGCACCAAAGAATGTGTTACAGAAAATTGGTTTAAGACTTGGCCTGAGAGAAGTGGTGATAAAACAACTAATATCAGTTTAGACAGCCAGTGTGAAAACAAAAAGTGTTTCCAAATCGATGAGGTAAACATTGACAGACACGTATATCATAATAACAGTGGTGCTATAGGGGATAGGACATGTGTTAAAACATTTTGCATTGACATTAAAAGAAACTCTAAACTTAATCATTGTATAGATTGTCACTGTGAAAATAACATTGACAATAAATCAACTGGATGCTCCAGTAAGACAGGCCATTATTTTGAGGGTGCTATTTCAAACAAAAATAAAAACGGGCCTACTTTAAAAACCGTCCGTCTAGATGAACTACTTGATAAATTCCCTTTAGCCTATAGTCCTTTAACAAAACAATTGCTTTTAATCAAACCTGATACTCAAGCACTAAGTCATTATTCCTCTTTTCATACAGAAGTAAATGAAGTATCAAATTATACAAATATTAAGGAAGGTGAAAAAGAAATCTTGAATCTGGAGGGAAAAGAGACTGATATAGAAGCACCAAGAGTGCTCAAAGAATTTACTGGTAACTCAAAGGGTACAGAATGTGATCTAATTACTCAAAATCTACATAGAGTAAATACAGAAGCCAGTTCTTTCTCAAGTACTGTGTCAAGTTTAAGTGATATTTCTCCTTCGACAATTGAAGACTCTGCTTCAGGAAGTTTACTAGATCATGGAGATAGTTGTTCGTTAGTATCAATCAGTGGCTGTAGTGCCTTTTCTGATGATTCATTAGGAGCAGATAGTAAGAAGAAAAGTTTAGGTGGATTTTTAAGCAGGTCAGTGGCATAAGTTAGGCCCTAATTTTTATTTTAAGTATATGTAGGCCTACCTAATGTTTAAAAGCTCAAGTTTAAAATGAGATTAACTTAGGCTAACTTTTCATTCTTTTCTCAAAAAATATAGGTAACTTAGGCTAAATTTCTTCAATGCACATATAACTTATAGGCGAAATCGCCAAGTAATTTTTAGCGAATTTCCCATAAGCTATTACCATAGGTCTCATGGTAAGACCTAGACCCGGGACCAATTTACTTTTTCATTTTGAGGTCCCCAGAGGCCAAAAACATCCTCCGTTCAATTCAATTCATTTATTTCCATGGTAACACCATTTTACAAAAAGGTACACCTACAGTAATGTAAGTAAGGTATCAAACTAAAATTATTAACAACAAATAAGTTAAAGGCTATGACTGAATAAATTAAAAATAACAAAAAGAAAAAGACAATTTTGTGAAACAATAACAAAACAACACTTGAATACACGGTTTGGTATATAGCCTATATGAATAAATTCAAATTCATATAACTTACCTATATATATTTAATAATTTATATGTAAGTTATATATGTATTGTGTGTGTGTCCGTTAGCGCGATAACTCAAGCAAAAATGACCCGATTTTGATGAAATTTGGTTCAAACATGTAAACCTATGTTTATTCTCTGGTTTGCGTTTAAACTGGCTTAAACTGGTTTGCGAACTTGTTCTCGAACGAGTTCGCGAACCAGCATGATCAGACTAAGTTATGGGAATTGGGGTTTATGGGGGTTTTACGGAGTAAAATTTGGTTTTTCTCTTTTTTGACTCTAAAATCATAACATTTAAAAAATTTTTCTAGACCATTTTGTAGAGATTAAATAAAGAAATAACTTTGTAATATTGAAGCGTAGGTGTATGACTAACGGTTACAGAGGTAAACTTAATAAAAAAACTTTAAATTTAAAATTCCCATGTTATTCTTATGAAGATTCAATAAACTGTTGTAGGCCTAGGTAGTTTGCTTGTTTTGTCATTTTTGAATCAAATTCATGGCAATTTTGTTTATTTCATACTAAGCTATCAACATTTCAATAAAAAACTAACCTCAATACCGTACCTTCCCTACAGCAACAAACTTAGGTACCGTATAGGCTACTCATTAAAATTAACGTTTTTTAAATAGGAAATAAATCTGACAATTTTTAGGGGATATTTTAGTAGAAATCCAGCCAGGTAAATGGAAATTCGCTTAGTCCGCAGGTTTGCTGCGGTAGGGGTATTTTTACTTTTGAGAGAGCATACCTACTTAAACTTAACTGAGTATACTCCTTTTCATAAGCAAGTACAGTAGGTGGTATTACTCAATGATCACATAAGATCATTAAACTCAGCCACGCCTACGTGCCTAGGCGTAGGTGTTGTTGTTAGGAGCACGCCTCTATCTAATTATAATTCAAGCAGCTGAAGCCAGGTCTGCCATCTTAATGTAGGATAGAAGCGTTAGATGCCGATGAAAACGGCACCAAAACTTAATGTTCCGCTTCAAAATAACTTGACATTTAGCCTACTTAGACTAAAGGTAAATCGTTGAAACTTTGTAAACTGTATGAGAGATGTCAATAAGTCTAGGACACTATTGGTTCTAATTAAAAGCGAGTTAGGCCTAATACATTTTTCTATTTCAAATCTTCAAATAAAGTCGGTACTTTTAAATGAGTTTTAAAATATGACATGTAAAAGTTCGTCGGCTGCTACTTTTTTTAGTTTTTGGTCGAAGGTAAGTTAAAAAACAATGGATTTTGTAGCTAAAGAGTTGAAATTTCAGATCATATTTTTAAAAATTATTAGCTGGTGTAGTTTGGTTGTAATTTAAATTGTACCGTACTTTAGGGGTTACCCGTAGTGCTGCGTTGAGTCATGCGGAAAGATTCTGCCTACAACCTCACTTGTAATCCAGTTTAGAAACTCAACTTTGGAGCTATACAGAAAAGTTACTAAACTAATTATAAAAACACGGAGTTCATATAAATGTTCTTAGTATTATTCTTTGTATTCATCTAAAAACTAATATTTTTTAGCTCTTTCAAAAAAATAATATGACAGTCAGAATATAAAGGAGAGTTGTTTAAAGAGTTTCAGAAACTATCTTTTGACTTGGAAAATTCGTACATTGTAAACCAAACGCCAGAACTTTATCAAACTTTAATACGATATAGATAGGACATATATTATAAATTAATTTGTATGTTTTCAGAGCTTTTGTTACGCCCAAAAAGTTGTTGTTGTTATTATGTAACTTAAATGAAATTTTTCTAAGAAACGGTAAACGCAAAAAAAAAGTTAAAAGTGTATATAGGGTGTGTAATCTGTATGAAATAATATCACCACTATATGAACGAATATTTTGATAAAGTTTTATTTACAAACGAATAGAGAAGTGTACTAAATCATGACGCAGTCAAAACTGAATGTTTTACAAAACTAGCAATAGCTGTTACATAATAAATATTAAATAAGTATAGACCAAAGGCATCACGGATGTGGCTAAGTTGACGCCACATCAGCCCCCTGCAGAGACTGGAAGTCCAGGAATCTTGAGCTTTGTGCTTTGGCAATTGACTCAGGATCCAATGAACATGAAATAGCCTCTACACGTGATAAAGCATCGGCAACATTGTTTTCTGAACCTCCGATGTGTTTTATGTCTGTAGAAAACTCGGATATGAATGAAATCTGACGTAGTTGAACGGGTGGAAGTTTCTAACGACGTTGATGAAAAGCAAAGATGAGTGGCTTATGATCCGTAAAACTGGTAAATGGGTTTCCAAAAAATGACGAAAATGCTGTACTGCTTCATACACAGCAAGAAGTTCACGGTAGTACGCCGGCCAAGAGCTTTGCTTTGGTGAAAGTTTCTTAGAGAAGAATCCAAGTGGCTGCCAGGAATTTTCAACGAACTGTTGAAGGCAAGCTCCTACACTAACGTCAGAGGCGTCTGTAAACAGTCCAAGAGGGGCGTCATGTTTCGGATGAAATAGGAGTGTCACTGACGACAAACTAGACTTGCAAGCTTGAAACGCTTCCTCAGTCTCTGGGGTCCAAGGCACAGGAAGTGATCCCTTGCTATTTACACCACCAAGCAGAGAGTGTAAAGGTGCTTGGAGTTCTGCGGCTTTAGGCAAGAATCTACGATAGAAATTGATCATACCTAGGAACCGTCGAAGACCACGCATTGTCTTAGGTAGTTGGTACTCCTGAAGAGCAGATATTCGGTCTTGTGGAGGGTGGACACCTGATGCTGAAACTCTGTACCCTAAAAACGTCACTTCAGGCACTGCAAAAACACACTTGGACGAGTTTACAATAACGCCATAGGAATGGAGTCTTTTGAACAAAGTCCTAAGATGTTGCTCATGTTCTTCAGCTGATCGGGAAAACACTAAAATATCATCAATGTAGCTGAACGTAAAATCTAGGTTTTGGGTCACTTCATCTATGAAACGCTGGAATGTTTGGCCAGCATTACGTAAAAGTCATGAAAGGAAACTCAAAAAGGCCGAATGGAGTTGTGATAGCAGTTTTGCATATGTCATCTGGGTGTACAGGGATTTGTTGGTATGCTTTTACTAGATCTATGACAGAAAATACGTTACAGCCTGAAAGATTATTTGAAAAATCATGAATGTGTCGAACAGGATACCTGTCAGGAGTGGTGCGTGCATTCAATGCACGGTAGTCTCCACACGGTCTCCATCCATTTTCTCCTTTTGACGCCAGATGCAGGGGTGAAGCCCACGGACTGTCTGATGGACGTGCAGTACCACATTTTACCATGTCGGCAAATTCACTTTTTGCAATGCTAAGCTTTTCAGGGGCCAGTCGTCGTGGTCGGCAGAATACAGGAGGTCCTGGAGTCGTGTGTATATGATGTACTGTCTGGTGCTTCACTTCTCGAGGCATTCCTGGAGGGCGAGTCATTTCAGGGAATTCATGCAGGACTTTAGAGAGGGGAAAAGTAGTGACTACGGATTTTACGCTACTTTGAGTCGTAACGGAAAGTTTTCCTCCTGTAAAAAGTCCAGTTGTGGCATCGTGAAGTCGCAACAGTCGACAGTCAGGAAGCAAATGGTAGTAACTGAGGAAGTCTGAGCCAATGATTGGAACGCTGACATCTGCAACCGTGAACTGCCATGCAAAACTACGGCGTAGGCCTAGGTCCAATGTCATAGAACAGGTTCCGTAAGTCTTGATAGTACTACCGTTGGCGGCACTTAGTTCAAAGTCTGTAGATGTGCGACGGTCTCGTAGAAGACGTTTGGGATAACATGAAACGTCAGAGCCGGTGTCGATCAAGAACCGGAGATTAGCCTTTTTATCTGAGACAAAAATTCTGCGGCTGAATGCTTGACAGTCAGCCGCCGCTGTTACTGGCCGTCCTTGGAGTTTCCCGCGTAAGAGCAAGGAGAAGTACATTTTGACGCGTGCTCACCAAATTATCATGATACCATCAGATATGGCTTGTAGATCTGTGCTGATCTTTATTCGTGTTCTTTGATGTTTTCTTGTCATGATTGGTCGAATGATTGTGCTGGAGGGATACTTCGAGTGCGTCAATCCTCTGCGTCAGTCTCGCAATAGCAGAAGTGAGGTTGTCATTAGACTGTGTGTGTTCACGAGATGTCGTAGCATTTACTGATACTTGTGGTGTTCTTGTAGAAACTTCAATGACTTTATCGGCTATATCTGCTAGTTTATCAAGTGGAAGTTCGTTTTGAGCTGTGATGATCGCTTGAAAGTTAACAGGGAGACGACGTAGCCAGAGTGCTTGAAGGATGTTGTCCTGTAGTTGGGCTGGACCGATCAGAGTACGTAGGTGGCGTAAGAACTGTGATGGCTTGCGATCTCCGATATCTTCGTCACTTATCAACTGCCGGATGCATTCTTCTTCACTAGTAGACAGCCTTTCAATAAGCTTCGAACGAAGTACCACGTAACGATTCGTTGCAGGCGGATTTGT